TTTTCAAAATAGCCTGGGGCCCGTCTTATCAACGGTCGTACGACCGTTTTTATCGTACGATTGTCGTACGTCGATCGTACGATTTTGGCGGTGTCTTATCAAACGTCGCAGATTTTCATAACCGTACGATTATCCTAAGATCATGCATTTTTTGATGCGAATGCGCTTGAGAAGCAGTCGCCAGATCAACAAAAATGGCCGCCTTACTACTTGTAAACGAACGCCGCCGACGAAAAAATCACGCTGTTTTTCGGCAACGAACGGTTAATATTGATGATTTAAAACCGAATCGAGAAGTCATTTCCCCGATATAAGACTGAATAAAGCAGCAATTAAAGAGTTGGAGGAGCTCTGTCGGGCTGATCTTTCCTCTAAAACGGGGGTAGATAGCAGTCTATTTGCAGGCATGACGAAGGTAAATGTATCGAAGTTTCACTGTATTTATTACTCTTCTGCATTGTGTTTACATTCGTTACTACAGTAAGCAGTTTGACCTTAACCTTGATTTATTTTTAGCCCAAGCATTATGGGTAAACATGGCGCTGTGTTATGTGTACATACAAAAAAAATTAGACTTAGATCCACAATAACACGGCTTTGGATTAGAGCTTTGATAACAATGCCGTTGTAAAAGAAAGGAAAAGTGATGTTATTAACAAATTCAATAATTCTTAATACGTCAGAGGAGAGGAATTTGGCTGAATTTGTAGATATTAGGATCCGTAAACAAGGAGTGCATAGCCTTAGTGAAGTTAGTCAGAGGATTGATAGGAGGATTATTTTTAAACCGGTTTTCATTACCTGTAAAAAATGGGCAAACGTGTTTTGTTATGAAATGTAAACACTGTTCATTTTTACATTTAATGGCTGGCAATATCAACAGTTGCTGAAGTTACGAGAAATCAGTAATAAACGATAAAGGATTAATAATTTTATGACATAGCACTCGTCCATGTCGTCTAATATTAAAGCTTATCATAAAAGTATAGCACTAGCAGGTAAGAATAATTTCTTTACATGATTGCTAAATAAGTTCTGAGTTTCACAGCCCATTGAATAGAAATGTCATATTTTAGGTATGTATAATAAAAGCCAACACTTGTTAGTATTTCTTTTTTTTTTTTACATGTGTGTTGTTTTTATTTATTCGTGGCCAACGAGATACTATGTCGTGGCCATGAGTTACTAAGTCACAGTGACGTTAAGTGTAAAATTAGCGACAAGTCAATAAGTTGTATAAAAATTGCACTTTTACAGGCTGGTGAAGTAGGGGTATCCTTTTACTACAGCACATGTCTAGTTAATTGGGGAAAGTAACATAAATGGTGTAATCTGATCAATTGGTTATTTATCACGTGGCCACGACTTAGCTATCTCGTGCCACGAAATAGTATCTCGTTGCCACGACTTAGTAACTCGTGGCCACGAATAGTATCTCGTGGCCACGCTTAGCTATCTCGTGGCCACGACCCTTAATAACTCGTGACCACGACATAGTATCTCGTGGCCACGAGATAAATAAAAAACACACAATGTCACATTTGTGCCACCGTAAAAAATCATATAAGATCTATATATATTTTTATCAAAGTAATTTTATTTCAAGCACATCAATAAAGCAATTTTCGACTTTCTTTCATTGCAGGTTCTTATTGGACTTCGATACCTCGCAAAAGGCGATTTCATATCAGAAGTTGGAGACCTCCACGGGGTGTCTAAAGCCAGATTAAATAATATTAGGTGAGTATGTGGAGCTGTACACATATACAAGTAATTTTACTTACATATAATAAATTCTATAATAGGACGGGGTTATATTAAATCTAATTCAATTTAATTTCTGAGACACTTCGCCAATTAGCATTCATTGATATTCTCGTGATTACATTCATACACAGTAGTCTATTGCTCAATACAAATCTGTGCAAAATTTTATCTATTTTTACTAGATATATTATTTGAAAACAACTAAGGCAACCCTGTATATCCACAGGTAAATATGCACCACATGTTTGCTGTATGTTTGGTACCCCATATGTAAAACATATGTGTTTCATGTGTTTTGAAAAAACATGTGTTTAAAAACATGTGTTTTTCATATGAAAGATTAACATATGTAAACAGGACCATATGAAAAGCATGTGTCAACAAGCATATGTTGAACTCATGGTTATCACATGTTTTATATGAATAAGTTTTCATAATTATGTAAAATATATGTGAACTTTCGTGTGTTTTTCATATGATAAATCTATGTATTATATATTCTGCAAACTTTACACTTTTTACAGTCCCTATTAGATTCTAAATGATTGTACATAAATTCTGAAAAGATCCTTTGTTCATGCATCTATGTGCAACTTATGGTTCTGGGAAGAATAGTGTGCCATTCATTTTTATTCATGATTTTTTTCTCCCTTTGTATATTTTAGTGTTTATTTAGTGAAAGAAGCCAAAATGTGGTGACCCATAGGGAGTAACCATCATATCATAAAAATGATGCCCAAATTAAGATTTATCAATTTTGTAAGTATTTAAAAAAAATATTTCTTTCTGATTTTATCTAGCTTTTGTGAATTTTCTAAAGAAAACTATATGTCATCTGAAAATAACTGCTTTATGATAACCTATCATTTTTCAGACACATTTAGAACAAAGTAATAATGGGTTGTTATTGGGGGATAGTGGGTACCCTCTAAGGAGGTACATGTACCTATTGACCCCAAAGGTGAATCCGACAACACCACAAGAGGAAGCCTTCAATAAACACCATAGCAGAGGCAGAATGGTGGTAGAAAAAGCCTTTGGTATACTGAAGTCAACGTTTCAGGTAAAATATTGCAAAGCATTCAAAGTAATTATTTGTATTAGTTTAGTTTATACAAATTTATTTTAGTTCGATAATTTTGGAAGCTATAAGCTTATTGAAACACTCTTGAATCCGTTCCTAAAACCAACCAGTGCTAAGCAATGAGTGTAAAATTTCTTTCTCAAGGAAAACAACGGCGTGGCCCTGACAGGATTTGAACCCACGTGGTCAGCAATCCTTAGATTAATAGTCCGACGCCGGTTAACCACTCGGCCACGCCGCCAAATTGTATTGATCCATTTTATTCAATAATGTGTTTCACTATATGACCTGTATTGATAAATGAATTTACAAGATGTTTAAATGATGCTGTCCCAACTTTTGATCTCTACTTCTGGCCCCTATTTTTGTGAAAATGTCATGCCACTGAAGTAATGACATACCACATGAAACAAATAATATACATAAGCCGCGTCACGACAAAACCAGCATAAATGGGTTTGCGATCAGCATGGATCCAGAGCGCAGTCTGATCAGGATCCATGCTGTTCGTTTACAAACCCTATAACAAGTAGAAAAACTGTAAGCGAACAGCATGGATCCTGATCAGACTGCGCTCTGGACTGGATCCCTGCTGGTCTCAAACCCATTATGTTGTTATGTCATGACGGCGGCTCATATTATTTATGCCCTTTATTTGCAGATGCCTACACAAAAAGTGGTGTGTTCTACCGTTTTCAGCAAAAGAAAAGAGCAGCCAAGTTTGTGGTAGCATGTATGAGGCTACATAACTTTTGTAAAACTAGAGGAGTACAAGAGCCTGTGGAGATCATCACACAGGATGATGATGATGATGATGATAATAATTTACCAAATGGAGATGACAGAAGTAATAATAACATTAGACAGGAATTAATTAATTTATTCTGAAAAAATGTTTTTAAGACATAGAAATTAAAATATATTTACTTGTTCTGGTCACTTGAAATATAACATTTCACTCAATTAAATCTATGTTTTGATCTCAAATTAAGCACCCATGTATTACTTAAAAGAATTACTTTGTATTTCACAATAAACCAAAATAAGCACAGTACAGTAGTTAACTTATTTGTCAGAGTCAATGAATACCTTTGATAAGAAAAAATTATATTTGCAATGAATAATAAACATTAAAGGGGTTAAAGTAGTAATATTAAATAATATAAGTAAATATACATGTGAAAGCTATTCAGTTTAATTATGTTGAATATTAATTTGTGATTTCATGAAATACATTAATTCATTGTGAAAAATAACTACTAAAAAGTATAGCTTTCAGAAAATATCCCCTTGTCTTACAACTATACCTGTTAAATATTAATAATTCAAATACTGCACATTTTTAACATCATTTTTCATTGGAATACAATGATGTTTAAATTTATGATTGAAGAATTTTTTCCCTCTAAAAAATGTTGTTTGCTGTATTATGACTTTGTTACAAAGATTTCTGATAAGTTATATGGCCATTTAAAAGAATTTGTTTGCAAATTATAACTCTCACCTTGTGACTAGGTTATATAAGCAAACAACCATTTTAAATGGGGTAATTATAACCTGTCAAAATTCTTTTTTAACTAACAGTATAACAAGTTTCATGTTTTGAAAATGTCTTTTATAGCTTTTAAATCATTCTATATTACAGGCAATTATGTTAAAAATTTTTCTAAAAAATTGCCTAAAATTCTAAGTTTAAAAAAGGACTTAACTCTTGCAACTATCATAATTGCTCAACTGTTACTTCAAAACAAACATGGTTTGTAATTCAAAATACAGATACCGGGTAGGACAGAAGTGTTTTCCTGATAAAAATAGACACCAAAAGTATGTAAAGGGAGGGTGGGTGCTTAAATGAAAATTTTACAATGACTATAAATTAATGATTAAGAAATAATATATCCTAAATTGTGATTTTAGTGCTAAATAAAATCACTATTTGGAGTCCTGATATAAGAAATTACATCACGGGGACAAAGCCCGGTTGATAAAATGCTGCACATCTGAAGGACAAACATTGATTTTAATTTATCAATGGTTAAATTTACTGATTGAGATATATTATTTCAATCCTAACAAATGTCAACTAATAAATGCTGCAGTACCCCGATATTAAGCTAACTTGTGCCTGTAAAGTTTCCAATATTAATATTCAGCTCGTAAAATTTTTTAATGGTTTCATCAAATGTCTAAATTAAGAATGTCAACATTGATTTTATGACCATTATAACACACAATTTCGGTTCTTCTGAGTTCATAAGGGAAACATACATGTCGTGTTAGAATTTTAAATAAGTTTGTCTAATCTTTTTTTTATGCCATCTAAAGACTGATTTAATGTTTTTAATGTTGAATTCAATTCTGTCATAATTGCAGTCTGTTGTTCAACAAGTTTGATATATGTCATCCTCTGTTTTCTCTGAAAAATGAAATCAAAAATAACTCAGTCTAAAAGACCTGATGCATGTACAATTTCCATGTAACATACTTAGTGGAACAAGTTTAGATATGGTCAATTTGCAAAAAAGTGCATTTTAAGTTACAAGAAATTACTTCCAAAACACACTGCATTATATAAATAGTTTATATTCTGATTCAATGTGTAAGTACTGTATTTCAATGTACTATTAATGCCTCAAATCAAGTTAAGGGGGTTTTTGTGTATGAGTAGTTAAGGTTGTTTTCTTCACATCACCTGCCCCACACGGCTGTGTGTTTAAAACCCAACAGAGACTTTGGTTTTTTTTCCTTTTGTGGAAGCTACACATTTCTATATCTTATGGGTGATCTGTGGTTCTACTCAAGTGCATGCTTTTCAAGGCCTCAGTTCGCAATCACTAGTATGTTGAATCATGCAAGTTAATGAATGAATAACAATAGAATTGGAGTAATACTATAACATAATAATACTTACTGTCATATTTTGCCTTCTTTGGCACTGGCTCATTATCACCTACAATTTAATGTGCATGAGTATTATTGAATTATTTCCAGCTTGAATAAGAAAACGACAGTTGTTTATGTTAATGAAGGTATTTTTTCATAAATATATATGTATACAAGTTTCCAGAAGATTTTAGAAAGCTTTTCTTTTTGAGTTTTTGGCACACTTAACCTCAGTTAAATAAAATGCAACAATCCTATCATTTTTTATAAAAAGTGACATGGTGTGACTATAAATAATTTCAACAGTACATGTCAACATATATTATTGATAAGACATTATGTACTTTGTTAAATTGCTGAATAAACATAAAGTAAAGTTAAGTTATGTTATTCTTACCTTCAAATCCTTTATCCTGCAAAATTTCCTTTCTTCCCAAGCTAAAAAAAGAAGCCTGTATTAGTTATTACATAACTTAAAGTACAAGTCACATGTCCATAAACTGCACAATGTGACATGCTAACTAATAAATGTGAATCTTAAGTATGTAACCTTCTGGTATAAGTATGTAGCCTTCTGGTATGTTAAATTATGTAGTCTATGGATTGCTGCATAATTCACAATATTTGTGTGTCTTTTCTAATTGTATATTTCTGCTCATGACTGTATACCTTACATGTATATAAATATGTACACATCTACCTAGATACCTATTATAGGAAATGACAGCTTAGTTTATGTAACATTATAATGTTAAATCACAGAAAAACAGATACACTAATCTACTATCATCCATAATAAATTCCAATATACATAATAGCATTCATGACTGAAAACATTGACTGCTTGACCAATGAAAGAGGAAATATTAAACTAATTTTGAGTAATTAGCTTTTGTAATTTAAGGATATTTGAAAAGTTGATAATTACTGTAACATTGAAAATAATGAAATTTCCTAACAAATTATAATAAATGTATTATCAACATGCTCACAACAATAAAATTTATATACATGTACTTACAGTTTGTCTCACTTCCAACAGGAAGGTCTGGGATTGTAAGGCCAGGATCATTATTTTCTGAAAATGGAATACATTATACAGTTTTATTTCATGCTTTCCAGTGTTTTATTGTAATATATAGATGATTATATTCTGATAAACCACTAGTGAAACAAACAAATATCCTCTATATATCAGTAACAGAAGTGAAAGTGTGAAGAATTAAATCTATGTTTATCATAATTAATTTTAAATATCAAATGCCGACACAGAAAACTTTTGATCTTTCTTTGTGCGTTTTCTATCGGCTGATTTTTGCATTCTTGCACTGTTTTTTTTTTTCTTTTTGGTCACTTGGTGTACTTGATATTTTGCTTTTGTTGCCTCATCTAGTCTATCTTCTATTCTCAAAGTGTCATACAGATTGCAGAGTGGACATTGATCTTTCTTAGGACGGAAGAAAAAAGTTACATTCTGTACTAAAAATGATTCTGTACACAGCCGCCTCTGAAACACACTTTCTATTTTGTACTTTGCATTTTTCTACATACAGTGAGTATATTCGTTTTATTTATTAGATACTTCATGTTGGGGTCTTCGTGTGTAGTGTGATTCAACAGTCGGAAAGCTTTCGTTGTGTTTCTTTACAAATGATCTGTGATATTCCGTGGTTTTATTTCCAGGCACAGCTTTCCCTCTTTTGTCATTTCCAACATATAACCCTGCCACTTTGTGCTTAACTGCGTTTGCAACTGCTTTGGAACCCACATCGATAGTTTTTAGTAAAAAATTCTGGAAACAAAGTGATCCCTCGGAAGCATTAATCACAACAAAATTACATAAAAATTGCAGACTCAGTTTGATTGAGTCTGTACATGAGAGATAATGAATAAGTGCAACATCCCTCACGCCCTCTTTTCTACCTGTGTAAAAAACGAATTCGAAATAGATCTTTGTTTTGTTCTCTGTTAAGATACATTCTCTGGTTCTTTATTGGCAACATGGAAACAAATGAATTGCCTCTGACTTATGTAATCACCCATTGACCAGTATGTACTGAATATTTTCTGTCTTTCATCTTCGGTTATATTCTCGCTGCATTTAAATCTAAAAGATAAATTTCTTGGGAAAAGAGATAACAGATAGTGCCTGTGAACTGTATGAATGCAGTATTCTGTCAGTGGAAAAAGGTGATAAAATCAGTTATAACCTTTTTCCACTACAGATTCTTCACAACATGTGGAACAACAAGTAAACAACAGGTAATAAGTACACTTAGAACCTTTTACCCCTAAATAATTTGTAGAAAAGAAGTTATTACAAAATACTTTTTAATGTTTTGCCCTTATAAGGATTGAATATTTATATAATATTTTCGTCAGACATAAAGGACAATAAGTACATTATAAAAAACATAAAAAGTCAATTTCGGCAAAAGTGGCAGTTATAACCTTTTACCTTTGAACCCTCGATATTTAGTTGCAGTCAACCTATCAGGGGAGACAACTAAAAACATGCCTCCAAAAAAGGCTGCCAAGGTTATTAAGTCAGTAACCAGAAAGGTTATTCATCCACCATATTTAAAAACAAACATACCAGCAGGCAAAGCAGCAGCTGCTCCCCCACTTGGACCACAACTTGGACAGGTATTGCAATTGTGTACAAAATTTTCAGATATAAATGTAACTGTTTTCGTCTAGAGTATTTTCGGATACTGAATTGATTGGTATGTCTACATTTCCATAAGGTAGTCAGGTTCACCCAGACCAAATAATGGCCCGTTTAATATGCAGACATATTAATCAAACTGACCGTAGTTAACCTGGATACATTTTTTTTGTCTGGTGGAATACACCTAGATTCCAACTGGTCCTAGATGCAACGCAATCCGGTCAACTCGTCCCCTAGTCAACTCGTCCTCTGGTCAACTCGTCACCTTTTTGGTCAACTCGTCCCCTACTTTTGGTCAACTCGTCCTCAAAGAGTCAACTCGTCCCTAATATGGTCAACTCGTCCCCTACGTTCGATCTATTCGTCACTATTATGTTGTAAATCAATGTCTTTTAATAGTACTTTTTATGTAAAATTAATAATGAATTTGATTGATATCGAAATATTAATAAAATAACGTCTTTTTTACGTTAAATTTTAATGATCTTTATCTAAACGCACGTGCATAGCTTTGATGTAAAACTACAAAGACAGTTAAGTTTGCAAACATTCAATTAATGTTTAATTAATCGGAGTTTTAATGATAATTAAAACTAAAATTAGGTCCAACTCTTTGATTTTTACCTCCTCCCTGAATGGATTAAAGACTGACGACAGATCAACAGAAATTTGGAGTGCTAAAAACTTTATGTCGGTGCGTATTGATCTCATTATAGAAGGATCGTGACAATTAAAAACATGATAATTGTTTGTTGTGAAATTGTCAATTGTTTCTGATTTTTTAAAATTGCATTTCATTGTAATATTATGGTCCATTATCATAGGAGTTGTATAAACATACATGCCTTTTGAAAGAGTTAGTATTTATTTATTTTTTCATTATTTCTTTTAAATAAAAAGTCTGTACAATAATATTTGCCTTGGATATTAACTAATTGAAAACATAAAGTAATTACTAAATATTCAATTGCCATCTAATAATTAGTAAAGATTAATATTAAATTTCCATAAATAAATCTTTAAACTGATCTCAAAGAGGAGCTGTATAAAACCGAGTTCCAGAATTTCTTGTATAATACAAGTCAACATATTGAATGTATTAATTTTAATGAATTCAACATTTTCATATATTTGACCATACACCATCAAAAACAAAATTCGACATTTGGAAAATAAAATTTTATAACAACCTTTGGCACTATTTTCAAGCGATTTGTATAATTTCAAATTAAAGACACACGTTCTTTAAATATATAAATACGTATCCAACCACAGAGGCAAATGTGTCTTTAATCCTATTTTCAAATTACTATATGTTTACTTTAATAACCAAAGGCACGTGTCATGATATATTTAATTAACAACAAATAAAAACTCCAAATATTCGCATACAAAAAGCGTCAAAATATGTCCAATTTAGTAATTTTATAATGTATTATTTTAACAGTCTATAATAATTTATGAAATATATGAAAAACAAATAATAATAAAATATAGGGGACGAGTTGAGGACGAGTTGACCAGGGCACGAGTTGACCAAGGGACGAGTTGACCAAAAAGGTGACGAGTTGACCAGAGGACGAGTTGACCAGGGGACGAGTTGACTCTGAATCGATGCAACCACAGCAGCACAGATCTATATCTGTAATAACTTCAACGGGGTTACTCGATAATATCCACGAGGTAGACATCGACGTCGAGGAGGTCACCGAGGGGTCTTGTCCAGGAGATTGTGGAGCAGTGCCACTTAGTCCAACTAATTAGACTTGTAAAAGAGACATCAAGATAATTTTGGCAGGAAATGTTCTAGTTTGACAGTATGAAAAAAAAATAGTTTGTCAAACCGTTAATTAGGCTAAATGCCACTGCAAACAAGACACTTCACACCTCAAATTTTGAAGGCACCACACCTCGAGACACTTCACCCCCAAAAATCAGCTAGAAGTATATAACATGTTTATGTTATTTGTTTATCTTCTTTACTTTCAATTTAATTTTGTAGTGTTTCTGATAAAATATTTAATCAAAAATGGAATTTTGAAATATATTACAACATTTAAGCATAACATGAAAGACAATTTAAAGATCACATTCAAATAAAAAAAAAAACGACAACTTATTAACTGCGTTATAATTTCTGACAAATAATTGTACATGTATATTTTGATTTCAACCTGAACCATCCAGGTACTGTCATTTATAAAGAACAAAAGAAGTGTGTATTATCATGTAATACATGTATCTAAGATAAATTGATACAAGGGGTGATACACTTCAGACGCTTGATGTAAAATAAGTTAATTTATTCAGTCAAATTTTCATAGCAAATTTAATGTTAAGACATTTTTTTCTAAAAAGAGAGACTGTATAAAGGATCGTTATAATTTGCTTTCAAAATTATCATTTGGATATGAGCCTTTTTAGTTAAAATGTAACTATCTCTATCACACATTATCAATATTGCATTAATTAGTAATATTTTTTAATATAATCATATATGTTAAAAAATAAATATATTTTAATCACCATTTATTACATTTCAAAATTTCACCTTCTGACATTAAATTTTGTGTAAAATACAAAACAAAAATGGAGGGGTGGGGGATATGAAATGCATAAAAAGAAGGATGAAGTGTCTGAGTGGTGAAGTGTCTGCAAAAATGGCTTGGGGTGAAGTGTCTAAAGAGCAAACTGTCTGTAAATTGTGACACCTGCATGAACTAGGTATTGGTCAAAGGGTCATATGAAAAAGTTGTCCACATCATGACTTCTGCATGCATTTATGGATTTAATAAAACTTGGCTAGAAAAATCATTCAAGAGTGTCTCACACAAAAGTTCAGGTCCCTCTTGCCAAGGTCATGCATAGAGGTCAGACAAAATATGAATGTGTGTGACCAATTTAGTAGTTTTGAATTTAGGGATTATATTAAAAATGTTTATAATCGTTTTACCAGCATGACCCAGGTCAATGTATGCAAGTTAAAGGTAACAATATATGATGAAATGGCATCATTTCACTTGTGCTGCATGGATGGATTTTAGTATTATTAAACACAGAAATGTTCAGCACCATGAGCTGTAGTGACACCTACATTAATCAGGATGTGAGGTCAAAAGTCAAGGTATCTGACATCAGAGGAAAATGATTTACCAGAGCAAAACTTGTATACATGCAATGCACTATTTAGTCATCATAATTTGAGGGATTCTAATGTAGAATTTCACCATCTTGAGACTGTGCATTTGTGATGGGCCTATTTTGTGACAATAACACTCTGTTTTCTAAAGAAAATGGGGATATAGAAACTCTCATTCAAAAGCTGGTCCAAAGCTGTTTTCCGTTGATCATTGGAGGATTTTGAAGTAAGTTTGTACAAACATGTACCATATTAAGACAAGCTGTCAAGCGCAATATCCAAACCCCATCCACCAA